CGTCAAAGAAGTGTAAAGCTTTACAATTTTCTTCAAAGTATAAAGAAATTGAACTCACTTCTCTCTTCCTTGCTATCCTTATATCTAGCTGTTTCACAGTGTGCTGCAAGACGAAACAAGCAGTCAGCATAGGCACTGTTTTGTGACCACCAGTCAATATAGTTCCTCGAAAAAATTATGACCATCAGTGATACAAGTTAGCATCACTTGTGTGTTGTCTCTTTCTTTACTCCTTGGAGGTAGGTTTGCCATTTACCTTTCAAGTAAGGTCAGATATATGAAACAGCAAATATACAGCATGCATTCTACAATATGATCAAAACAGATAAAATACAGCAGAAGCTGAGGGATAGGATAAAGACCCAACAACATACAAGAGAAATCTGGTAGCAGGGACATACCCCCAGCAGAGTACGTGGTGGGCTATGTTGCAGGGTACATTGCACCCTACATGGGGTATGGTGTCAGGGCCATTACGCAGGGCAGATAGAAGACTAGGAGGCATAAGGGGCTGTAAGGTATGGTGAGAAGAAACAATTGCTTCTAGGACTGAGACACGGTTACAAATTCTAGGGAGTGTCCAAAGAATGTAATAGAGGGCAACACACTATGAGGAGCACTGACACTGAGTCCCTAGAGCAAATACGCCCAGGGATGACAGGAAGGGACAGCCGCACAGATGGAGGATGGGAATGCTATTGCCAAGGCAGGGATCAAGAACTCTCCAGGACTAGAGGTCTGTACACCTGCAGAGCAGAAAAGGAGAAAAAGACAACTGAGTAGGGGCAAGAGAAAACGCTGCCAACAGAACCTGCAGGCAGGAAGCAGATCCCAGAAGGAAGGTTCCATTGAAGGCGCAGAGGGTCAGGTGTTCTGAGGCAGAAGAGCAGATGGCAGGCAGATTGTTGAGGTCAAGTCCCTTAGAGGAAGGCAGTAGAGAGAAGCACAAAATAATGCTTTGGACTCAGGGACTGCACACGGAGGGCACTTAGCAGGAAGGGTGCAAAAAGACAGTGTGCCCAGAGAAAGAAATGGACGCGAGATGCACAAGCGACGCGTCGGGAGCTCCGAAAGACAACCTGCGGCACGAGGAAACGCTGTGCGACCAGCCGCAGCTCGGTTCCTCCCGGCACGAACCTACCCGTCCCTCCGCTCACGGACGTCGCCGCGTCTCCCGGAAACCGCGGTGGGGAGGGGCGGGCCCGTGTCCCTGGTGGACACCGCCCACCGTCATCCCTCGTGGGGGAGGCTTGCCCCTCCCTTTGCTCTCAGCCGAGCCGCCTCCTCTCGGCCCTCGCTCCGGGAAGCGTTACCAGTTCCCCTTCTGCCTCCCTTCCTGATCAACCGGCGCTTCTCGGCTACTCGCGCTGCGTTCACTTCCAGGCAGCCGGTAGCATAGCATATTCTCTTCCTCACATTCTCCCCGTTCCATCCTCGCTACTCTCGCACGGCAGTTCCTCCTCTGCATCGTGTGAGGACGGGCACGCTCCTCTGCAGCCCCAGTCTTTTAGTAACATCCCCTTCCCCCAAAACACAACTAATATTTGTACTATACTCTCAGATCCCACTCTCTTGTTCACTTGACTTCCCACACATTTTGTTTATCAGACTGTTTAGTATTAAACAATTTCTCCATAGTGCAGATCAGAAAGGAGATTCTTGGCCCCTTACAGTACAGCTGTTACGGATGGGAACAAACTTCCCATCTTCTGAACTTCCACTGCATTATGTGAAAAACTTTAAAAAGCTTGTATAAAAAGCTCAGGCCAACTGCAACATGACGTCATGCAGCACAGATAAATACATTTTGCTATCAAGGCATTTAATTATTAAAAAATGTATCCATCAACCAAACCACGTGAGACAGATGGAGATGTAAAACATGAGCTGGACCTAAAGCATGATTTTCCATTAGTCACTTAGATGACTTGCTTGTCTGGAAGTCATGATGCAAACTTCCTGTAATACTCCCTCATTTTTCTGTTTTTCTAGATTATATAAAGATTTGCCTGAGGACTTTTCAGAAATCTGAATGTTGCATCCATATTATATCTGAAGTACTAATTTAAAGAAGATAGAGTATTATCTAAGTAGTTCTTACAGATCTTAGATATCTATATATATATATGTTACATATCTTAAGATATAAGTAGTTCTTATAATCTTTCCTTATGTCATCAGAAAAGAACTGTGCGTCCTAGACCCATGCCATTTAAAGAAAGGAGGGGTTCATTTCCATCAGTAACTGTTTTTGAAAATTAGAATCAGAACCTACAACCTGACTTTTGAAATAAAGCAAGTTTCATTTAGCTACATATATTTTCAGAATCCTACAATTATTAAAGGGATTTAGTTCATTTATTTATATGAATCGTCTCTGGTTTAAAATACAACAGTGAAAACCGGCTTCAAATCATTTCCCAAACCTGAGACACAAAAATTATAGCGGAAGTCCCAGTATAATTTACATTCTGCAGTGGGCCTCTCAAAGCACTCATCAGAATAATCACATAATAGGTGAATGTCTAAATCCATATGCCATTCTGACTGCTGGCATGCTCCTTTTCCTAATGCCTTACCTCAGCATTGCCTAACTTATCAACTACATTATCTTCTTTGCCCCTACCCCCCGTTTCAAATGAGCTGTCATATTCTCCAACGTACCTCCAAACAGTCCCTAGTCACGTAGTTAAATGTGTGTCAGTTCCCCAAATGAGTAACTGATGGCTTCCAGTGATTCAATAGTGCCCAAAATGGATAAACTTTACTGGTGAGTCAAAAAGATTATAGTCTACACAATGTGAATTTGAGGATCGATGTAGGAACCTGAATACACCTAAAATAAACGCAGAAAATGTCTTGGTTTCATAGATGGAAAAGGAAGGAAACCTTTGACCCTTTTAGGAAACAGGAGTTAAGAAGAGATTTTGTGTTCTTACCAAACATTAGTGAGTTGCATAGAATTTCGGCCAAAGGTAAGATTTCAGCTACCTTTAGAACCACCTTCAGAGTCACCCTTTCTGAATACAAGCCTTCGGCCCCATCACTACACTGTGAAATAGCAACACCTACATGTAGCTTCACAAGGAAATTAAAACAAAAAGGACTCACCCTCTGAAAATGCTACATTGTAGAGAGAAAAAGCAGGGTACATATTGGCCACACATATACTACTAGGCTCAAAAGCACTTCCAAGTTTCCAGCCCAAAGGCTATATCCAACCCATTATGGCCCAACTCTGTAACAAGACCCAGGATCACACAATCTAGTCATCCTGCCATCCTCGTTTTTTTTCTACGGCCATACAAGAGTCATGACACATTCCAAAGATGTTTACCTGGACAATCAGAGTAACAGATTTATGAAAATCCATTTTACAGGATGGAACTGTCCTTCTTAAAAACGTAGAGCCAGAGGGTGGGGTGATGAGAAGTAAAAATGTCTTCCTCTCAAAACCTGAAGTTTTTCCAGTTCTTTGAGACTGGAAATGGAGATCATACTTCCTTTTCCTGGAGAGCCAAGATTATCTGTGTGAAGACATGCAAAAATGTCTTCACCAACTGTGTTGGGCCTCAGGCAATGCACAGCTTGCTTCAGAAACTCCACGACAATCAGTGGTTTCTGCTCTCCTGCAATTAACTTCATCTAGCCTGCAAGATGAAGTTGCCTGCAACAAATGGCCTAAATTCAGATAATGGCAGACAGTCAAAACCTGGCTTTACTATCTTTAAGATTAGCAACATAGGTCTTACCGGCTATATGCTATCTACACAAAATAAACCACACAGCCTTGCTCATCTTCACACATTACTGCAATGAATCTCTAAGCACAGACAAATGAGTACAACAGTTCAGCAAAACTGAACCAAAAGCCAAGGCAAACATAATGTGCAGGGAAAAGAAATTTCTAAGTCATTAGAAGAGTTGCAGATCCTTCCTCAGTATTACATGACCTCAGCAAGGTTCTAAAATATTGGAAGCTACTAATCTGTCCAGTACCATAGTTCTCAAAAGACAATACTGTATCCTACTTGTCCTCTTCTAGTTAGAACTTTACTCCTGTGCATCTCCACATCAGTGATAGGAATCACAGAATCATTTAGGTTGGAAAAGACTGATTTTTTAGGGCCAGCTGTTAACCTCAGGGATGGTGACTCCACCACCTCCCTGGACATCCCACTCCAATGTCTGACAACCCTTCTGGAGAAGAAATTTTTCCTAATATCCAATCTAAACTTCCCCTGACACAACTCAAGGCTGATCCTCTTGTCCTGTCTCTTGCTCCCCAGGAGCAAAGACTAATCTCCACCTGGCTCCGCCTTCCTGTCAGGGCGAGAAGGTCCCCCCTGAGCCTCCTTTTCTCCAGGATGAGCCCTGCCATCTCGCTCAGCCGGTCTTCGTGCTCCAGACCCTTCCCCAGATCTGTTCCCTTCTCTGGACACGCTCCAGTCTCAACGTCTGTCTTACTGTGAGGGGCCAAAAATTGAACCCAGGATTCAAGGTGCGGCCTCACGAGTGGCCAGCATAGGGGAACAGTCACTCCTCTACACACTGGATTGTGTGCTGTAAGCACACAAGGGAGTGGAGCATCTAATCCTGAATTTCCAAAGCACCGAGGACCCCCAATAGTGATACTTTCTGTAGTGCACTTGAGAAGCTCACCACAACTTTCACAGGTGCTAAACAGCAGGATGAACACACACTCAGTTTTATAATCCAACATGTATGAATAGCAGTAGAACAACAACAGATCAGTGCAGAGAGCTCAGTCCATCTTGATGTAAAAGGAGATGTCTCAAGCAAACGTATTTGCAGGGAGCACTCTCTTTGTAGAGGATTAGGAGGGAAGCCTGTAAGTTATCTGCCGAATGCACAGTATCACATTCAAAACACCTGAGAAGAAAATAAGGCAAGGAAGCTTGTAAGAGTCATTCTCATGCGAGACAATGAAGAAATTGTGATCACTCCCTGGAAAACAGAAATAGCAGCACAGAACAAACCTCAACTGTAGAAGTCCATTCATACGTTGAAGCCCACAGCTCAGGTCCTGCTCCTCTGGACCTCTGGACAGCCGGTGCATCATCCACGCCGGCAGGACCCAGCCCCACGTTGGCCTCTGCGCAAGCAGCGCAAAGCTCACGCCGGTGCCTTGTACAGTCCCGGCGCCGCGCAGCACGCGGCCGGCCCTGCGCGGGAGAACCCGTAGCAGCGGGAAGGAGTTTACGGCGGCAGTAGGACCCAGCGCGCCCCCGCCGTGGCAGGGGAGGGGCGAGAGCCACAGACCCGCCGCGCCGGAGCTCCGCAGCCGGCGGGACCAGACGGGCTGAGGCGAGTGTGTGTGGGCGCACGGGGACAGCAGCTGCGGTCCGGCGCGAGCACGGTCATCCTCTCGGTGAGGCGCCGGACCTGACTCAGGTACTGAGGCGGAGCCGTCGTACGTGATGTTGCTGAGCGCTTGCCTGGCGCACGGGGCCGAACGCCGTGGGGAGCGCGGGGAGGGCGGGGGGTTCCTGAGCCTCGTGAACAGACCTCAAAACCCTGGGCTCACCGAGGGTTCACCTCCGCGTGGGGCCGGCGGATGCGCCCGAGAGCCTCCTAAGCTTTGGGCGGGCGCCGCGCGGGAGGCGAGGGTTCATCTCTCGCCCAGAGGCTGCGCTGGGCGCCGGTGCGGCGATGGGCACGACGCCGACTATCCTCGCCCCCCCTGGCGCCACCTCACGAGGAACGGCGGGGCGCCGTCCCGCCGGTTGCCTTTCTCCCCGCGCGTGGTACCAGGAGGGCGTTATCTCTTCTCGGAAAACCCGCGTTGCCGTACGGGTCGCCCAACGTCCTCACCACGAACAGCCTGAAAGCGCTGTCCGGGCGCTGAGCAGTGCTGGCGACCAAGCTCCACTCTGCCCGCTACGGGAGAGCGCTGTCCCCAGCTTCCCCCTTTGGCGCCAGGGTCACGTCTCGGCTTGCGGTGCCGCCGGCCCCAGCGCACGTACAGTGCCACATCGGTGGCTCGTCAGACTCCCGCGAGCTCCGGCTTTGTTCCCGTCATCCCTGCTCTCAGACCTATACTGGGCGAAGAAGGGTCTCCGCGAAAGCCTTGCCTCCGCGGTCCCTTCGCTGCTACTCACCTCTTATTTCAGTGTCGAGGCTCGGGGGGTGAATTTCGGAGTTCTTTGTCACAGTGGTGACCGCTCAGATCTGTCAGAGCGAGCGACGTGCAGTCTGAGGACCGTCCCTTCATAAAGGACGTCGTGGCAGCCCCGGGCATGAACTCCGTTACGCGGTTCAGCGAGCGCTCTGAGAACGGTGGGGCGCCTCCCTGGGCTTCGCGAGCATCGGCGGCGGCCCGAGTGCTCCGCGGGAGCCCTCTCGGCTACGTGCCCCCCTCACCCCCCGGAGCGCCGCTCAGGCGGTCGTGGCCGTGGCCATTGGCGGCGCCACGACCGCCACCATTGTTTTCCCGACCCCGCTCCTCGCCTGCGCTGCGGCCGCCGCAGCCCCTTTCCATCTCTTGGGAAAGAGCCCGCTTTTGCTGCTGCTCGCAACGCACGGGGAATGGTCTGCGGCTTGTCTACTTCTAAGAGGTTCCGCGAAGAAAAAGTGAACAAAGGTGGAGTTGAATTGCAGCAATACAACTTCTCTCGGGCACAGACCGTTAGCACTGGTTGTGGAAATGCGCTCCTCTTGGGCAGCGGGTTTGCGTGCTTTTCGGGTAAAGCAACTGGAAAACCTTTTAGTGTAGAATGTCACAGAGTAAAGTCAAGTATGGTTTTGCAATGGTTATTTCAGAGGAAGCGGTGTGGCAGTAAACCGTTTTAAAATGTAAACCAGAATCTATTAGTACAGTACACCTGTTGTGGTTCAATCAGAAGTATAACACAAGATATATTATAAAAATATTAAAGTGATGTTTTAAATAGTGACTGAAGTGGGCATTAACATCTCTCAGTGTATGACACCCTATGATGCAGCTGCACTATCCAAAGTGATTGTGTAAAACGACACCTCTGAGCCAGGCGGTCTTTTCTCACTATATTCAGCTACATGTGCTAACCTGGCTTGAGATAGAGTGCATGTGCATACAAGCACTTTATATATCAGGGGAGTTCCATGGTATCCTGCAAAAATTAGCATATATGTTCAGCTGGTGACAGGACTAGACCCTTAATTAGTATTTATCTAGCTCTGTCACTTTTTGGTTTTATACTAGGCAATATAAGGATACTTCTCCAAGAATTTTCTGTTTTTGTAAAGCTTCAACACATTGCAAAGCCACCATAGTTGCAGGGCTGAAATTAATTTTCATGGTACATGAAAATAAGTTGTAAGTATTCAGCTGAAGTTGGGGGTCTGCAACTTAAATTTTTGAAAGCAGCCAGATAATTCCAATACAACTGAAGGCATGTTTGTCACCTTTCTGTGAACACAGAAAGGGCACGTGTTGTCTGTTCTTAAGGTGCTGCTGTGATTTTGACATTAATGCACTTATGGTATGTCTGTAGGCTTTAGAAAAATAAATCCGCTTCTCCAGAAAGTAAGCATTTGATATAGATATAATAACTATGGAGGTTGACAATGCTATTGTTATAGGACTAAGTATATTGGTTTTCTCAAATAATGTAAAGAGCAGGGTTCCAACATTTTCATTATATGACATAAACAAATAAATAGGCACAACTTTCCCTGTAGAGCACTTTACCCAGGTAATAGAATCTAGACTGGTTAGTATTATTTGCTACACATAACATAAAATTGCAGTGTGTTATTGCAGTCTGCTAATTTGTGATGAATGTTACTCACTGTGCTGTAGCAGTGAACACTTAAGACATTTTGCAGCTAAATGGGGACTGGAGATTGATTAATAGTTAAGTGTTGGTATGGAACATTACTTCCAGCTACAGACAGCACAGAATTATCCTAGGAGTTTTGAGAGAGAGATGAGAGAATGGTGAAAGCTGGGAAACCCTTAAGAAAGGCAGCAGATCTGAAAAACTGTCTCTGATAAAACAGTGGAGGCCAAAATGGCAAAGCGGAAGTCCCTGTAGGGCTTTGTGGGAAGGAGAGAAGGTCAGGGTTGGCATTGGCAAATATGGTAATGATTTTGTAGGGAACAGAAGTTTGCAGCAGCCTTTGGAATGAATGTGTAATTCAATTGGCTGGTATTTAAGCAGGTAAGCCACAAGAAATGCATTAGTGTGTTATACCAGTGGCCCATCAAAATGGCTTCTATGAAGTACCTGAGTTGTAATAAATAAAATTTGATTTAAAGATGCATGCATTAGTATTTAGAGAACCAGGAAAGATTTAAAGTCATGCTGAATAGGCAGATGTCAGTAATGTCAATGCAAAATGTAGTTGTTCTAAATGTATAGGGCTGTCACAAGGGTCAAGAATATTAAAATAAAAATATTTTTGCAGGAGTAATTGCCTGCAAAATTTCAGTAGAGTTGGTTAGTCTTAAGATTCTTCACTCAAAGCCAAGAATAACATATATATTTCTTTTAGTCTGCTTAGATTTTAATACCCTCAAGGGGCTAATATAGGAGGTTTACGACTTCTATTAGCACAGTATTGAGCAGCATATGCTTTTCAATGTATTCATACCCCCAAAACCCTATGAAGAGAGAATCATAATTTTCTTTGCTCCACAGATAAGAAACTGAAGGACGATCTCTACATTGCTCAGCTTAGACCACCTCCCTCATTTTGTAATTATACAGTTCTCAACCTGGTGGGGTCGCCGACTGAATTCCAGCCTAAACTGGGTTCCCTACCTGGAAGTTCATGTTCTACTTTTGATTATCATTTTTTTTTATTTGTATCATAGGAATTCAAGGTTGGGTAGATTTCTGCCATAGTTAGAAGAAATTATTTTTTCTTGAGAATTCTTGAAATTAATTCTTCCTGAGAACGGGAAGTTCTCAAGATATATAGGTCAGCCTACATACTCACAGATCTCCTCTCTACCCATACTGCTGACCATGAAGTACTGCTATATGGCCAATAAGAGTATTGGCTAAACACAATAGATTCTTGCAATTTCTAGCTACTCCTTTTTATAATCCAAATGCTCCCCTTATATAGACATCACACCAAAAATACCACTCACAACGCTCCCTACAATCACCTAGTATTTCCTCCTAACTGAGACTATAGTAGTTTCCATAGCAACAGGAAGATAATATCAGGAAGATCAAACCTCACATATTTAACTACATTTGTTCCCTTTGTTTTACACATTACCAAAGCAAGAACCCATTCATGATAGAAGGAATCTGGAATAAATACTGACAATACTATCATGACTGTTGTGGAGATATGAAACTGAGCTGCAGCCAGTTAAATGTAATCCTTTGCCTCTAAATAGGGCTGAGCTAGCAAAAGCAGAAAGCAAAGCAAGCTGTTACAATAGTTTTGCAGCAGCCCCATGTCTTAGCAGGCTTTGACAGCATCCCAGCACTGAAGCGAAATAGTAAATAAAAATTTTACCTGTGCAAATCAATCACAAGCCCAGCTTTTCTAAAAGTACTGCCCTCTGTTTGCACATCTTACACGGGAACCTCTGCACTACTTCCTTATTGGTTCTTAAGGAGGTGAATACAATCTAGCCTAGTAAGGCACACAGCAAGAGGATGAAACACATCTTCTGCTGTGTTTACAGAGGCAGGGTTCATTTCGTTCCGGTTAATAGTCTTTTAATTGTGGTGTGTTACCATGAACTACTGATGGACAAAACCAGATGAATAATATTAATGGTAGAATCACAGAATGGTTTGGGTTGAAAGGGGCCTTAAAGTTCATCTTATTCCAAGACCCCTGCCATGGGCGTGGTCTCTTTCCACTATACCAAGTTGCTCCAAGCCCTGTCCATCCTGACCTTGGACACTTCCAAAGATCCAGGGGCAGTCACAGCTTCTCTAGGCAACCTGTGCCAGGGCCTCACCACTTTCACACCCTCCTAATATCTAACCTAAACCTACTGCCTGTCAGTTTGAAGCCATTCCCCCTTGTCCTCTCACTCCATGCCCTTGTAACAAGTCCCTCTCCAGCCTTCTTGTACCCCTTCAGGCACTCGAAGGCTGCAATAAGGATGCCCCAGAGCATCCTCTTCTCCAGGCTGATCAATCCCAATTCTCTCAGCCTTTCCTTGTTAGAGAGGTTTCTTTTTGATGTATGTGTGGCAAATTAAACCACTCTTAAAATGATGGCATGGTGGTTTATGGTTATTTTTAGCCAAATGTGGTAATAGACATGACATAAAGAAGAGTAAATGGGTGATACTGTTTGTTTCCCCATAGGCCTATTTTTGTGAAATGCTGGAAAGTAGGCCAGGTTCCCTTGCATTGGCAAATCTTGCTCTTTCATCACAGCAGCACATAAAACCGTTTTAGAGACTGTTCCTCAAAGCAAAGATGGTAAGTCCCGTAAGGCAGGTGGAACAGAATATGTCTCTTACAGGCTTACTTGCTCTGCTGGGCATGGAAGGACGGCAACAGAGGAGGATGTTTCCACCTCGCGTGGGGAAACCGAGCTCCGGCTGCCGCGAGCGCTGGGCGGGGGAGTGGCCCCAGCCCCGCCCGCAGTCCGCGGGCAGCGCCCGCCCCTCGCCCAGTCACGTCCCGCACGTCTCAGTGCGGCGGGGCTGCCACAGCGCGGGTCACGCGGGGCCGCGGCGGGAGCGGCCTCTGCAGCCCCCGCCGGGCCGGGGCTTCTTCCCGCACTCGCCGCAGGCCCGGAGCGCCGGGTTCACTTCTGTCCCCCTGGAGAAGCTTGAACGGTTCTCTTATAAAGGAACAAGTGAGCTGCCAACTGGTTCTTGACGGCGCTTCCTCACGCAGATGTCGTTTGCTGTCAGGGCTCTGCATTGTAGGGCTGCAGAGGCTGCCCTTTGAACATCTTTGCTGTCGACGCAGTAGACTCACCGCGCCTGTGTGCAGGAAGAAGCACAGGGGTGAATGCCATAAGCCAGTGAATATCCCTATCCAGCACTTTAAGCACTCTGGAGAGATTGCCAGTCGCTATTTTTCAACAAAGCATGCTCATGTGTTATTGCTAACTTTGTGTTGCTACTAGATGTTTAATGCAAAAGAACAAAATTTCCACAGCCCTTCCCCCAGCATTTTAAACATTCACTCACAATGAAATGTTCTGACAATTTGGAAGTAGCATGACAGTTCCTCCTACGCCCTGGACTCCAGTTTTATATCTTATATAAATTTATATAAGATATATATATCTTATATATCTTTATATCTTATGCTCTTTATACATTAAAACTACTTCAATCAGCACTTCCCTGTTATCATCAATAGTAGAGAGTTGCCACTGTCACAAAGGATTACACTTTGGGTACCTATTCTGTGCTGTCTGGTTATTGCTTCAAAAAATAAGTCCTTATTTGAAATAATGCTTTATACCTTGTATCAAACAGAAGTTACTGGGAAAAACAATTTTGAAGGGTCGACAGATTCCAGTGTCAGAAGTGCAGAGATGCATCTTAAGACTTATTTAGCAACCTAAAGCCTGCTGCAGAAGTTGCCCAGTCTACCAAGCTAAATATTTTTACGTATTCTTATAGCAATCAGCAAGTGAGCCATATGCAGCCTCAGACGCCTCGATGACGGGTTTTGTTGAGGTATTCAGTTTCCCTTCATGTTAAACCATCTTATGTTCTAGTTGTATGAACTTGAATTGTTTTCTATTTGATTTCCAGAAACCAGAAAACTGGTGAAGCCAGTACTATGAGACTTACTATCCTCGTACAGTCCAGGGTAATAAAACAGCAATAGTCATGGCCAGATTTATTTCTGTATCTGTATATAAAGTTGTTTCTTCCAAGAAGCGGGAGTGCTGGTCAAATGCCATAGCAGGTATGTCCACACAGGCCTATTAACAATCATCCATTTGGTGCTCAGTTGTCTAGACAAGTCTGCATCAGATTGTTGTGCCACACATGGTCTGGTTGTGAAATGAAGATGTAAGAACTACATAGTTCCCAATTTACAACAATTGCTATGCAAGCCTATTCTGATGAAAGCAGAGGCATTCAACAGTGACAAACATCTCTGATGTGCAACTGTGCTTGCACTCCTCTTTTAGGCACTGTTGTAGAGAACACTGACACAATAGGAGTAATCAGCTGCACTTTAAAGAAATGGCCAATTTTTGTACATGTAAGATTTAATGTGTAACTTGTTTGAAGCTCACCTCAACATTTTCAAGACTTCTGTAGTATACAGACCCTACAAAAACCTAACTGCTGTGATGCAATACCTTCCTGCACTCCTCACATATGGTGACACTTTATGTGCCTTTTCAGTGTCTTTTTTCACCCCGCATCTCTCTCTTTAAAGACTTGGCAGCATTACACATTTGCATGAGAAAAGATTTTATTTTTAAGATGCAAAGCTGCTTGTGACTGCTCATAGATGTGAAAAATTAGATTAACGAAATACATTTTTTTTCTTACTGATAATGTACTAACAACAACAATGGAAAGTATTTGCTTCAGGCAGGCAGTGATACTGACCATTGCTACAGTTACTAACTCCCAGCATCCACAAAGGTACTTACTCGATGGGTTCTCAGCATCTCAAGGGATCTCTATATCTTTTCAAGATAGCAGAGTATCAGGGCTGTATTGCTATCCTCAGTAGGAACAAAAAGCCAGGATGATTAGTCCACTGTTGCACGGAACTCTTGTAATGCACCAGATCTCCTACAGGAATAGTCCAGGATCTTCACATAACATGGTCTTGTAACAAAAATCCTGCAGACTTTAATGCAGTAGTTTTGACATATTTGTGAAAATCAAATACACCCCTGATCTGCTGTAATGGCTCCAGTTTTTCTAGGGAACAGTGATTTGGTTGAAATCCAGTTTTGACTTTGAGAGCTGTGAAGGGACATTTGGAACACAGATGTGTGCATCTGCTTTTTAAATATTTTTACAAGCTTTGTAAGAACTAAACCCGAACAAGGAATGGTTACAATTCCAGTGCATCCTCAAGACTTTTATTTAAAGCAGTCCTATACCTTATTTTTAATTGTACTCCGATTTTTGCCAATTTTGGTTAGATGATCATTCCAATGTCTATAGATACTAATTGTTTTTTGTTTCTTAGGGAACACACGAACTTCATCATGGGAGCTGTAGTAGCTGATGATGGTCCATCTGGTGTTAAAGCCCCTGATGGAGGCTGGGGTTGGGCTGTCCTTTTTGGCTGTTTTATCATCACAGGATTCTCCTATGCCTTTCCTAAGGCAGTCAGTGTTTTCTTTAAAGAACTTATCCGGGAATTTGGCATTGGATATAGTGACACTGCATGGATTTCCTCCATTCTGCTGGCCATGCTTTATGGAACAGGTGGGTAATTATCTGTTTTTGAAACAGTATTGTGTCATACAAGGAAGTTTGTAAATCATATGGCTATTTACAGCAAGTATCATGACTGCTTATCGTTACTTGTGTGCAAGTAAGGCATTCCAAAGAATTATTATTAATCACATCAGTCAAACTTATTTAAATCCAGCTTGGATTTAAATTAAGTCTCTGTAACTCAGTATTTACTAAAGATGATGCAGAAGAAAAATTGCACGGCCCTCTGAAGATAAAAAAAGTATTTGACTGTAGAGGAAAGAACACTCTTCCTGATTGGCTTGACTGTATGGAGAAAGCAGGAGAGAATCATAGAATCATTGAGGTTGGGAAGACCTTAGACCTTTAAGATCACTGACTCCAACCACTAGGAAGTCCACCAAAGAGGAAATGCAAAGTGACATAAAATCAATTGCAAAGGTTCGTTTATCTTAGCAACTCTAACTTGCTTTTCTTGCCTAGGTCCACTGTGTAGTGTATGTGTCAACCGCTTTGGCTGTCGTCCTGTCATGCTGGTGGGTGGCCTTTTTGCCTCCATGGGGATGGTGATAGCTTCCTTCTGTACAAGCATCATTCAGATCTATCTCACTGCAGGTGTGATTACTGGTAAGTAGTGTGTATTGCTGAAAATGAGTTAACATATGTCTTAGCTTTAGGTTGAAGTTTTCTATAGGTGATAAATACCTGAAGCATCATGATCACCCAAATGGATTTTAATAAAGATGACAGATAAATGTAGAATTAAACTGTTATTTATTTTTGCTATGAAAATTTAATAGCATGAAGTGTAATCATAAAGTACAAGAATATTATGGAGGTGAAATGCTTTAAAAATGTTACCTTAGATTTATTCCGTCCATTTGGAATAAAACTATTTTCTCTTTATTTGTAATCATACTTTCTTTAATAGTGATATTGTAGGCTGGTATTATTTTTTATGTATCCTCTGTTACAGGTTTGGGTCTGGCACTAAACTTTCAGCCTTCGCTCATCATGTTAAACCGTTACTTTGACAAACGCCGGCCCTTGGCCAACGGGCTCTCTGCTGCTGGGAGTCCAGTGTTTCTTTGTGCTCTATCACCGCTGGGGCAGATACTACAACATGAGTATGGTTGGAGAGGAGGATTCCTTATACTGGGTGGGATGCTGCTCAACTGCTGTGTATGTGGAGCACTAATGAGACCTTTGGAGCCACCCAAAAAGTCTGAAGCTACCAAAGAGCCAGCTGAGAAGAAAGTGAAGAAAAAACTTCTGGATTTCAGTGTGTTTAAAGATGGTGGCTTTGTAATCTATGCCCTAGCAGCATCTATCATGGTGCTTGGCCTCTTTGTTCCCCCAGTTTTTGTTGTGAGTTACGCCAAGGATTTAGGCTATCAAGACACCAAAGCAGCTTTTCTTCTGACTATTCTGGGATTCATTGATATCTTTGCTCGGCCTATTTGTGGAATGGTAGCTGGTCTTAAATGGGTTAGACCACGCTGTGTCTACCTCTTCAGTTTTGCTATGATTTTCAATGGTTTCACAGATCTCATGGGTTCGATGTCTGTTGATTATAGTGGACTGGTGGTCTTTTGCATTTTCTTTGGCATTTCTTATGGAATGGTAGGTGCTCTTCAGTTTGAAGTTCTCATGGCTATTGTTGGTACTCAGAAGTTTTCCAGTGCCATCGGTTTAGTACTCCTGGCAGAAGCTATGGCTGTTCTAATTGGTCCACCATCAGCAGGTAAGTATTCCATTTAGTTCAGAATTCAAAATCACGTGCACTGCATCCATTTACACAAAATTTAAGGGAGATGAAAAGGATGAGAGTCACTCAAGAACTGCAGATTGTGCCAGTGTTGCACATGCTTCAAAGGCTTTCTGCAGTTACACTCTGAAATAGACCAAGAAGAGGTGGGATCAATCGTTTCTCCTTCTTGGATCCATTTCAGTACTGGTTAAACGGCCATATGGAGATGCTGCTGTTTCCCCTCTGAAAGCCTGCACTGAATCTCTTATTGGCAGATACCTGATTGGGATTCAGAATGTGAAACCTGTCAATGTTCTCTGGAAAGTACTAGGACAGATTCTCTATACCCATGGTAGTTTTGAAGGAGGAAAGAAAACATCAGAAGAAAAAAAAAATCATACAAGGAGGAGTATATAACTGGACTGCTTTAAGGAAGGTAGACTGCTTCTATTGCACTTGACTCACAACCCAAGAATAAGGAAACATAAGAAAATAGTCAAATTCATTAATTTGAAGTAAAAATGAAAATTAAATACTAATCAAAGAACATATATTTTACAGATCCTGAACTGAAACGCACTTTGCCTCCCAAACCTCAGCAGTTCACTGAGAAATGTTTCCACCATACCAAAAAACGTGAAGTATTTTCATTGTGACAGAACCCCCTTCATGGGAAAACCAGTACTATGCACTATTTCCTTTGATATTCAGGTTCAGAGAGGCACTTCCTTCGCATCCTCCCACCTGTTCTTTCACATCCACCAAGTCCTGTGAAAACTTAACTTTGCCAAAGTGTCAGAATCAGTCAATTACTCCAGACACTACTAAGTAAGATTTGCATCTTAAGCAGAAAGTGCATTGCCCAGGGAGAAAGGTAAATAAGATTGGGAGTAAGAGGAAGCTGATGATACAGATCCTCGCCATAGATGTACACATTTTTATCTGAAATACATAGCACTTGTTTCACTCTTGCATGTGAAGGCTGGGCTGGTTTTATTCCAGTTGAATTGCATGACAGTATGTGTGCATGGGAGTATGTGTTTTGACATGTGATGTAATGTCAGTGACTGTTAACTGAAATAATTGAGAAATATTTTGCTATAAACTTGTTAAAATCCTGTTTCAAAAAACTTGCTTATAGATAGTCATGGTAATTCTAAACAGCAATTATTTAAATGGTAAAAAAAAGCAGAAAAAATCTGCTGCAAAATACTCACTTTTGTTAATTACCTGGAATGTTACCTTTTTCAGGAAAACTCCTGGATGCAACAGGGAGGTACATGTTTGTATTCATTATTGCTGGAATTGAAGTTACGACCTCAGCACTTGTACTGGCCTTGGGAAATTTCTTCTGCATTAAGAAAAAATCAGAAGAAACACATACAAAAGAAGAAGCAGCAGAAAGAGAGGAATTAAACAAATCTGAAGACAAAACTCCTGAAGATGCCAAGGTGGACTCTATTGAAGTGGAGCAATTTCTGAAAGATGAGCCTGAAAAAAATGGCGAAGTTGTAACTAACCCAGAAACATGTGTGTGAGCATGACAGGGAATTGAAAAGTGTTTAGAAAAGAAAGATTTCCAACACTATTTATTTTAGAAACAGAACTAGTTTAGGGCTGGGCCATCTGCTTTAGTAACTGGAAGCTAGTCAGCTCATCAGATCTCTTTGGAAGCTGATTAGCTGGACAACTTATTGGAAAACCAGCTTTATCAGTAAAAAGTGGAACAATGTGATTATACTTTTTATGTAAACTAAAAAGCTTTTATAAACACAAGTAGGCTCTTGCTATGCATCACCAGAAACTGCTCACTTGGAAGAGATATAGGAAAAGTATATTTTAAGAAAAGTGGACTTATATGTATGTTTTCAAACAATACTGATGAAATCGCTGTGTTGTGTGGCTAAATATAATTTCCCTGTGTTCTTTGTGAAGGGAAAAGAGTTTGAGAAGGAGAAAAATCTCAGGAACTTAACGGTCTCCATTAGGTTTTTGAATTTCTTACTTTTTTAGATTTTTTAGATTAAGTGGCTCAGTCCTAATTTAATTTTGATAATATCTGTAACTTTGACTTATGTAAATGTACTTCTGAGTTCTGTCTAAACCTGTAACCTTTGTAATTATCATCTGGAAATCCTGTTTGTGAAAAGGCGCATTACAGATAGTGTCCTCATTAGATGACACAATTGGTATTCCGAGGTAGTACGGAAAAGAAAAAAATGAGCAGAATCGATCCTGACAGATCTTAAGCAAACAAAATTAGCCTACATTTACATATACTGTGTTCAGTACGACTTCCCTAGAGTACTGAAAAATATGACAAGTAACATGGAGAACATGGATATTAGATTTAGTAGAATATTCTGAAAAAGTGTCCATTTTGTATATTAAAAAAATGGTGCAAGATTCCAGATGTCCTATAAATTAGAGTGGGTAGACTTAGGGAAGAGACTGGACTAGTTTGAAACATGTTAACCATCTATAAAATGCAATGTTAGCATCACAGGAAGGTCTTAACATGTTTGGTTTTGGTTTGTTTTTTGTCTTACTCTCTCCCCTGCTTTCCCTCCTCCTATTTATCCCACTTCTCTATCCTTTTGCTTAATCTATGGAAGTTCAAAGTGCCATTCCTACTGGCTGAGGAAACACAACAGAACTGTTGATCATATTTATGACAGCACTGCACTGAAATAGAAAAGGGAGGCACAAGGAAAACATTCTGGGTTTTTTTTCATCCAAACACATTCAAGAAATGTAATTTTTTTGGTACAAAATCATGCTACTGCATCTTACCTTTCAGATCTGCTTATAAAAATCTGTCTAGGCTCTGTGACTGCAGTAACAATCTTCAAAACAGACTAAATGTAACAGATCCAGTTTTCTTACTGGTAGCAAAGGAATACTGGCTTTCAGGTGCCAAAATTGTTCGCTTAATAACTGAAAACCTAAAGACGCTAATCCCTTAAAACCCTATATCCCTTTTAAAATAACATCATTAATTGTTTCATACTTTACCATATTTAACAGAAACAAAGTGCCAAAACCACGAACTATCTCAGCTACCACCTTCCATTCTGGTAGTTTTTTAAAAATGGTGTTGCATCATTAGGACAACCTTGTACAGAAATGGAGAAGTTAGGATCGTGACTTTTAAAAAGAAATAGATGCTGCACAGAATAAACCATTAATTTTTATATCACATGTAGTGTGTTACTTTAAAGCCTTTTATTAATTTAGTGGCAGGAAATACGGTGACATTTCCCAGTTACAAGAGCTTAGTCACAGAACTTAGCTCCAGTTTGCTAAATTGATACTTGAAACACAACACTGGTAGCTCCAGAAGGCATGAGAAAAATGGAATCCACAGAGTAGTTTATCGTATCCCTAGAAGCTGCTTCAGATGATACATGAAGACCTTCTACAGTTTTCAGATTGCAGTTCCCTGCTCTGTTTCAAAAAGCAAAAACTGGAAATGTTCCCAGAGGTAAATTCAGATTCTCAGCCATTTTTCTCTTACTGTAGCTTTTCATCACTGGATTTATTTGCTAAATAATGCTACACTGCTATCACAAAACTAAATGGTTATTCCTTTAACCTCAGGTTTTGGCACAATTTTAAGTTTCTGTACATTCTGCGAATTGTCTAGATGGCTTTGTATGTGATAGAATATCCTTTGTGCTTAACGTACTGACCTTCCAGACTCTGTTTAATTTTCCACGCGTAATACTTTTATGGTTAAGCTGGGAACAAGAAGTGTTATGTTACAATTTTATGTGCTTGAGGCAGAAGAAGTTACGAAGACAGTGGAAAGCCATTTCAACAAGACACCATAAATAACCTCGCAAGGAAAGCCTAGTGTTCACAGGAAGGGCCTTATTGGCCTATAAAATTTTTTTTCTTTGACTCAAAGATGAATTAATCTGACTAGGACTGCCAGTGCTCTTGAGCTGTTTTCAGCACAGACCTTACCACTGGATTGAGGTGTTTGTAACGGCAGGAGATGCTTTACTACCTGACTCAACTGAGAAATAAAAGGGCTAGATTTAATTTGCTAAGAAATTTAAAAAGCTTTTACCATTTTCATTAATTACAAGAAGCATCACCACAAAGATGAGAAGCTCTTAATGCAGCTCTCTTAGCAACACCAAAACTGGCAGGCTTAAGAGTATTTCAGAGTTCTGGAGTCCGTTAAGCTTCCTGCTCCCATTCTGTCCCATCCAAGGGTAACACCCAGGTGTGTGCAAGCCCTCTATCTGTTCAGCTGCCTTAATTTCCTTGGAAAGAGATTGATTATATTTATGGGAAAGAAACCTCCATCCATGTCAGATCTCAACCTGGACACCTGTTGGCCAGTATGAGGCTGTGCTGCAGCATGTAAAACTGCTCCTGTTGACAAGGGCCAAAAAGGCCTTCACATTGAGCTCGTTTTACAGACCTTCCTCCTTCCTAAACCAAGACCAAAAAAAAAAAAAAAAAAAAAAAAGCAAGCAGCAAGTCCTTTGGTTCCCAACACTGTCTAGCCAGGCTCTTTATTTTAACTCTGCTTATTGTGTATTTAATATCTAAATATATGTGTAAATAAAAATAAATATACATAACATATGTTTCATATATTTAAATGCAAGGAATTGTTTTTAAATCCCTCCAGGTATTTTGGTACAGTATTTCTTTAATCCCAACACCACCAAGATCCCCTTAAGAGCAGTCTGTAAGATGTGCTCGTCCATATATTTCGAGGATGTGTATGGTCAGTCATAAAGCAATGTTAAAGAGACACTAGTGCCCAAGGACACACGTAGAACAGTTTCATGCGACATCTACCCAGACGAACCTTTGTTCAACCTCCACCTGGTTAAAATTTTATGATTTGAAAAAAGAGGGAGGAAAAAGGAAGGGAGTGCAGATAGTTATGCAACTGAATTGCCAAGCATGCAAAGATTATAATTTGCTCCTTCCTATTGAGACAAATGTAATTTTTGTTAGACACATAATTGATATATATATATCTAAGAAGTCTGTAAAGCAAACAGTCAATGGAAACAAGTGCAAAAAATCCAAGTATAAAATTTCTGAAAAACAGTTTTCATAGATTATATCTCTGAAACTAATGAGCAGTCTCACTGAACAGGTGAGCAAAATTTTTGAAGCATTTTAGATCTTCATACTTTTTATAAATTGTATACCACAGGATTTATGATTAAAATACTGTATGCTTTATTATGTAATGGACCTTAGGCCCTTATCTTCCTGATGCAAGGAGAGGAAACGTGTATAAATGCCAGTGACAGAGACTATATAATAAAGAGGTGTACATGTGTATGCACATATATGTATTTGCATATGTATGTATCGATCTATATATATCAAAGATGCAACAGAGTAAATAAAGACAGTTCACCCATTTATTATAGACAATGAGCAGAGTTAAAATTATTTCCTTCCTCCTCCTAAGTTTGCCTATTTAAAAATTCTAAATAAAATCTCTTGCAGCTATTTGGAGCCTAGAAGACCTCAGTAGAACTGAAAGTGATGCAGCTATCTATTTAAAGCTAAGCCAGTTCCCTAAAGTTAAGACTTGAGATGGTATGAAGGTACGGTGTGAAGGACTGGACAGATCTTGTGCTGGTTAATATTAAATCCCATACACAAAAACGTGTTAAACAATGTAAAATCATTCTCTAAAAATAAGTTAGAATATTCCCCTAATCAAGCAATCAGACTTCAAAATTAAAAAAACAGAATTCACATATGCACCTTTGGTACATCCCAAAGAAAAGGTTTAGTTTGGTAGACAATCACAGAGGAATTTCAGCAGAATGCAAACTCTTCCATGTTACAGGGCTGAGTACTCACTCATGTGTGTGTCCACCACACTTTCTTTAGGATTATGGGAATACAACTCAATTTTGTGCGAGATGAAATTTTGTTTCTTGTTAACGCACTTTAATGTAATGTGTACATTTATACTTAGATTTTTTTTTTTATGCTTTTCTAGTAAACTGTTGCAAATGTAGTGAATAAATATGTGGTTGTCAAAAACTGTGAGTTTGAGAAAATAAGCTCAGAAAAAATAACTTTAACACCCAGATTTGGAAATTGGGCTCCATTTGCACACGCTCAAACAGCTATACAGAGGCAGACTGTTTATAGAGAAGTGACACTTAGCTGACAGGCAGCCAGAATTTTATGTGGGCAAGGGGGCTGCTTTTGCCATGACTCATAGTTTGGCGAATTCCAAAATGGGTATGTTCTTTTGCTGTAAATGATCCTGAAGACTATTTTAAAGCATCAACTAATTTAAAATAAGAGCTATTACTTTTGTGCTGGTCTGTGTAAAAATTCATGTTCTCCTCTGAGGAGTGCTCCAGGTTTTTGTTTGCAGGTAAAGTGTTATAAACTACTATGACTTACAAAGCCCTAAATATTTTGAGTAGTGACCTGCTACCAAGCTGTCTATTGTCAAATGCGGCTCTTTGGAACTTGAAAATTCCTAAGAAAAGCGTAAGAATACGTTAATGGTGGGGGGTTTTAGGATCTTACGATACCCTACATAAGACTGGCTCCTCAAGGTATAATCTTAAGGCTACACCCAAGTGAATCAAAATTAGTCTCTTAAAGGTAACAAGACGTACCTTTTGCTATCCACAAGGTTGACACCTACTTGTGCTTAATTCTAAGTATCTGGTGAGAAATTTTTGAGAAATCCTTCTAAGATCATCTTCAACTGTATAATTACACTGAAAAGATCATAGGTCTAGTTTACACAAAACCCCATGTTTGAATAAATATTTGGTTGCCTTTTTTATGCTAGATTAAGTTAAATTGGTAAGACCTATGGTGTAATCAATTTGCTACCCCCCTGGCCAGATCAAGATGTAGATATGCTGCTTCAGGAATCAATGTTACTGGGTGGACTGAAATGACAGAGCTTACTAGCATGCAGCCCATCCTTGTGACAGAAAACTAGAGTTTAGCTTTGCCTCTGGTACTCCTTGTGTCTGAAAGAAGTAAAAAGGCCATCTGCTGTAGAGGAAAATGGGCACAACTTGAGTTGCACAGTTGTTATTCCCTGCTGTTGGACCTGTTGGAAGAACAGGTCCACCAATACTGGAAGAGTAAACAACCT